CTTCTCCATACTCGTCATATAATATATTTCATCTTTTATATTAATTTGATTTAAAAATAAATATTATCATTTTCATACCTAACAATTTTAAACTAATTAAATCCTAGGTTCTATTTCTTTTTTGGATGAAAAGATATAAGGGCAAATTTATCAAATTTAACTTATTAAGCATTCAGTTATTGATGTTTATTAAACTATATAAATAAGTTTAACATTAAAATTCAGACATTCATATATTTCTTTTTAGTGCTTAAAATTCAGCAAATTAATTGTTTCAGTATTCAGATTTCAGAATTCAGACTTCAAAATTCAGATTCAGTTCTATTAAACGGAACCTTACTTGTAAAAGCTTGTATTAAACATTGTATTAGTGTCTAAAACATACTGTTTTAATGTCTACATTTGTTCTGATAATCTCGACACTATACGGTCCAATTGCTATTAACAATTGTAGAGGTCCTTGATCCTATAAACAGAAAAAAGGGGAATGGAAAGAGAGATTTGATGTAGATAATATGAATATCAATTTTCTCCCATCTCTTTAACCTATTTAAATCTGGGGATCAAGCACCCCACTAATTATTATTGAAGAATTAAAGCTCTTTTATTGTGGTGATCGCTCAGCTCTGCAATCAACGTCGTCCAGATTGCAACATCCCACTAACAATTTTAATGGCAACTTCCCACTAACTCTCACTTGTCAATTGTGAACCTCACAGCACTTGAGAAATTAAATATTCCATATCAGTGGCAATTTTATCATTCAACACTGGCGCCCTGAACAAGAATCAACCACATAGTTCAATTCCTAAGTCAATCTCGACCTTTCTAAACCTAACTGGGCTCTTGCATTAACTGTTTGGGTGGCATAGTTGGGCAAACATGTTTTCCAATTTGATAGATATTGTGTTCAAATTTCTTTCGGCGCTTAGAACACTTAGAAACCTCACACAATGATATTCGTCAATCCCCAGTTGCCAATCAAACTGTTAATAAATGACATTCACTTCGATTAGAGATTGTTGGGAAAGAAAAATAGGATCCTTGATTTTCTTTTAGCAACAGAGCCTTTGGATTGCTACCAAAGAAAATTATTCATAATTTTACTACTTCATCAGTTATGCACAAGATTGATTTTATAATAGTTAATTTTAAAATTTATTTATTTGTATATTACTTAACCTTTTTCTTGCAAACCCTTTTGATTGCCCAATCGTGCCAATAAATCTTTTTATTTATTAACATTTGTAACAACATTATCTAACACTTTAACGTGTTGTGATAATTTTTTCTTAATAAAGGACCATTTAAGAAATATTTCAAATAATTGCTATCTGGTTGATTTTCAGAAAAAGAAATAGTTCATAGTTTCAGAAAAATTTTTATTAAATCGATTCAAGCATCTCACTATTCTTATATACTGAAAGTTTTTATTAAATCGATTTAAGCATCTCACCATTGTTATATAGTACTTTAGAAGCATTTATCTCTCCATAATTCTTTGAACAATTTCCCACAAATTAGGAGATAAATGAAAGGATAGTTTCGATATTGTGCATAATATATACGTCTTTTCAGCTTTTGAATTGTACTTCTCAATTGCTCTAATCTGGACAAGAGAACAAGAATGTTCTTAGCAAGTCTTGAAGAAACAATGGCTCAAACACTCTGCAAAAGTGTGCAAGTCAGTGGATATTTCCTCATTATCTAGGCAATTAAGTAAGGAAGATAAGCCACTGGCCATTTGGTCCACAAACTTGCTACTTTACGTGGCTGGTCTTCTGCCTCTATGGGATAGCTCGAGCGGTCTGCTCCTTCTCCTTAGGATAACGTGCTCGGTGTGGAGTGGGGCCTCCTCTCCCGGGCCGCAGGGAATTAGTCGGGCCCCGTAAAGATTGACCCGGATACTCCTGTGTTGATAAAAAAAAAAAAAAAAAAGTAAGGAAGATAAATTGAAATCGACCACTTTTTATCTAATAATTGACTCCATTTTGTTAAGAGTCGAGACAACACTACGACAAATCCAATTGTTCACCTACAAATGCTCAACTAATATTCTATATTATACTGATACATATTTAAGCAGTTTTTATCAAACAAACACGCAGATAGAAATTTTTCCTCTTTGTGTCGAAAGCTTCAGTTTCTTTGAAGAACACCGGTCCCATCATGAAAGGCAAATGCAGCAAATTGGTGCTTTCTGTTTTCTGAATTTCGGGGTCAGTTTTCTTATCCAAAGATGTTATCTTGGAAAATTAGTACACATTGTTGCAAGTAGGACTAAAACAATTGAATTTGCTGTCAGTTTTAGGGAATCTTGTATACGGTTTTAACAGAAAAGATTTTGTAAGGAGATTTATTTTTCTTTGACTAAAAAGGTACCAAGACTCTGAGCAAAAGGGATTCGTCAGCTTGAGGTAGGCTACAGATTTTTGGACAATAAAGCGTCTTCAAATACTGATTAAGCCCAGAATTATGCAAACTAAAATTTTCAAAATCACTACTGTTTACAAAATCCGATTGACTTCAACATCAAAGTTCAAACGTGAATCAACGTTTGAGAGCCATATGACATATTTATGTGAGAAAAAATCTTTTATGTAAAGACAAGCACATCAGACTCATCAATGTCCAAAGTCGGTCTTACAGGAAACATGGTAGAATTTCTAGATAATAAACAATTAAAAAGACTAGCGGGTCATTCACTAAATTCATTTTAAATTTATATATGGAAAAAATGTTAGGGGTTAAAAATTTTTGGATTAAATTTTTATATTAACTTTTATAATACTTAGTTCAAATTTTTATATTCTTATTATTCAATTATTAAATAATATGTAATTTTGTGAAATAGAGTATAAATGAAAAAAATTTAGAAATTAGGCTTATTGAACATTATAAGTAAATATTTAAAACTAATGATGGGTACAAAGAGCGGTATAAATTGATAACTTAGTTTGCAAAAATGAATTTAAATGAATTTATAAAAAATTAAAATAAATGGGTTATAAATGGGTAATTGGGTTACCCAATTCATTTTTTGACTTACCCATTTATACCCATCTAATTAAATGGGTATAAATGGGTTGACTCACTTATACCCATTATCCATTTTACCCAATCCAAACCCGCCCAAGTCACCCATTTTGACACTTCTAGTTGAAACTGTTGTGAAATTAGGCTGTATAAAAGATTTGTTTTCGCACTTCTAAATCTGATCAAACAAACCAAAATGGGGAAGCCATATTGGATCTTGGAACCACAGTACAGATTGTTGTTTTACTAGGGATGGAGTCACATGCCATGAGATTAATACTCACAGATTAATACTCACTTAATCTTGGGTGCCACTGAGCTAGCTCAAGGGGTAAGACTTTGTCTCAAACTCCAAGCATCCTGCCATTGGCACAACTGATGTGGGATAAATTAAACGTATAATTGGTTTAGACCTCAATTACAGCTTACTGTTTGGATTGTTGTTTTCTAAAGTTTTTATAGAAAAATGTTTTATAGCGATTTGATGTATATAAGATAAAAAAATGATTGGAAAATATATTCATAAAAAACGTAAAAAATTTTTGAAGAAAAATGGCGATACAAACAAGGCAGTTAATTATTCATGAATTTCTAGACCGCAAAGTTGATTAACACAACTAACACGCCTCAACCTCTCAAGTACAAATTTTAGTGGCCAATTTGCATCTGAAAATTTTCGCTTGTCCAAGTTAGTTTTTGCTCTCTCTCTCTCTCTCTCTACACATAATCCAAGCTTCACGAGTTTATAATACATTAAGTTAATCTACGCGAACAAAAGTTACACATACATCGAAGTTAAAGTGATATACAACAAATCCTATATGAACTAAAACTAAAACAACTGCACAATTGCACCAAAATCTCAACTTGACTATCTCCAAACCCATAATTGATATCTTGAAGAATTAATATATTATTCAAATTTATAGTTTAGTTTTTGACAGTAATAATGTGATAGGCATGTTTTAAGAGGCAGGATCTGGATCATAGGCCTCCATTGTTACACCTGCAATAGCAAAGTGCAGTTAATTGTTCATATAGAGCCAGCCCAACTTGGTCAGATTCAATTTAATTGTTTTACTTCAAAAATCAAATGGGGTTGACACAGCCTTCCACATCCCACAAGAACTTGAGCAAGTATAGTATGAAAACATTGGCAATCCCATCCTGCCTGATGACTCAGCTATCATGAGGAACAGTCCCAATATTGTGAATTACAAGAGATGCATCTTCTGCTATCTGCCTATATGGCTTTCCTGGTAAACTTTGATAATTCATCCAAGTGCCATAAAAAGTTACATGAGCAGAGCTTTATTACAATAATACATCTTGATGCAATGCCATGGAAAGAATATGGACCTCAACTGAACAATAATACATCTTGATCCACAGCCATGGAAAGTCACATGATCAGAGCTTTATTACAAACTTGAAAGCAGTAAACTGAGCTTCCTTGCTTGGTATGAAGGCGCAGAGCGCTGACATATCCATCAACGCGTATAACATCTGTCATATCATGCTGAAGGACTTCTCACCTCAAGGTCCACATTCACTTGTATCTCTTAATATTTGCCACTTTAGGTTACTTTTCCTAACATTACTGATTGCAATTTTTTCATTTCATATATTTGTTAATCATCATGTGTGCTGTCTGCTGAGAACTGATTTCATTCACCTATTGAGTCAAAAGGTGATCATTTGAACAGATACTGCACGGTTGTAAAATTTATTTTTTTATCTTATGATCTATTCCCTCTGTAAGACGTCATTTCTACAGGAATACACGCGCGCACACGCACACACACACACAGAAACAGAAACAAATACCTTAACTAGTTATAGTTGACAGGATAACCAAGTCTTGAATAGCTCGAGGAGTTAGAAAGTTTACAGTCTCTACAGAATTTGGCTTTTTTCCCCCTTTAGTAAGTGCCCTTATTTTATTGATATCAGAAGTAGGCGTACACAAGTGGAGGGGATCCCTCATCCATTGCAGGAAATGTTAAGAAAAACAGTCTGTACAAGTTCCAAAGTATATATTCCATTAACAAACATGGACTGTGGCCGAGCATAATGCAGTCATTAGATTTAGCCTTTGAAATCTCCCATCCAGCCCCTATATCAGCCATAATTCTTTCAGTAATCATAGCAGGTGGGAATAGGATATTCAGGAATACCTTTAAATTCCTATAATGCCACAGCTCATAAACAACAGCAGCAAAAGCTATTTTTCTCACTGAACATTCATAGGATTCATCTGAACCATTTCCAACCATCCACTGTGGATGATACTATCAACCTTAGCTTGCTGGATACAGCTAAATAACTGCACGATACACATGGAATAAGTCAGTTAGAGAAGCCCCTAAGGATTCCACCAATCATGCCACAAGTACATATTTCTTCCATTGCCAACAATCATTTGTATACACTGTCTAGCTACAGGTCTTAACTTCAGCAGTTCGGTCCAATTCCAAGAGCCAAAAGCCTAAGCGTCAATAGCCCAAAAAAAATAATCCCTCAGCATGCATGTATGTGAACCAACCTTATCCCTAGGGAATCTTTCTTGTGAAAGATATCCCAATTGTGCCTGAGCACCAAGGCTTTATTCCAAACCACCTTCTTCAATGGTAGACAGGATTCCCTCCAGCCAACTTTAGTTTTAGAATGCTTGAGCTCAAAACCTGACCATAAAAAAGAATTCAGCAAGCTCTCTAATTTCTTTACAAAAGCAGAGGATAATATGAATATACTGCCCCAGTATACAAATATGCTGTTAAGCACAGTTCTAATAAGAGTGAGTCTTCCTCCATAAGATAGCTTCCTGACTGCCCAGTTCTGGATTCTTTTCATCATTTTGTCAAGAAAGGTTGACACTCCTGCATAGTTAATCTAGTAGAAATAAGGGGGACCCCCAATTACTTTACAGCTAGAGTTACAATAGGTATAGCCAGATCTTCACCAATCCTCTTCTGAAGCTCCTCCCCCACTCCAGCTAAAAATATTTCAGATTTAGACAGGTTTGGAATAAGGACAGGCATGTCTGAAAATTCTGCTAAGGTCTTCTTAATCATTCGAATGATTTAGGAGCAGCAGAGGCCATAACAAATAGATCATCTGCAAAGGAAATATGTGAAATCCCAAGCTCAGCACATCTAGGATAAAAATCATATGCATCTGCAGTGATATAATCATCAAACAACTGAGAGAACACCTCCATGACAATAAGAAATAGGTAAGGGGAGATGGGATCCCCCGGTCTCAACCCTTTACTGCTTGAAAAATCACCGACCAGAAAGCCTTTGAGATTGAATGAAAATTTTGCAGTTGTCACACAGCATCTGGCCCAACTGATAAACGGAAAATGCAGAACCTCTAGAACGCAGAATAAAGAAGTCCCATCTGACAGAATCATAAGCTTTCACCATGTCAATTTTAACCACACATCAAGCTTTACCCATTTTCAATCATAATTCCTCACTAGTTGATGCATCAAGAGGATATTTTCTGTGATAAATCTCCCTTTGAGATTGGCTTAAATTCTTGCTTTTAGTACTTTGAAATTCTAGGGCTTTGATTCTTGATCCACAATGAACGTCAATTTAGTCTTATCTTTGACTAGTTTACTACTTATATATTCTCTAGATTCTGCTTTTCTCTTGCCTAGCTTGCCATTGGGTGTAACATTTGATAAAATTTCAGGCATTGGATTTACCAGCGATCTCAATGACAATGTTGCAGCACCTTGGCCTTCTGGTCATTTTGTTTCTGCTTCTTCATGCAACAAAACTAGATCAATTGCGCCATCCACTTCTTCACTTCCTTTGACAGATAATATAACTAAACGTCCTCTAGGCTGTCATCTTGAGACTTCAGCCAGCTATTTTACAAGTTCTGATATTCTTTTCCTGTTTAGGCTCAAATTAAACTCAATTGATTATAAGCTGGAAACTAATTACTAATTAGGATAGTTCCTTACCCAAAAGTTACTGACCTCAAATTTTGCTTCTTCATATATTGCATGACTGTGCATTAGCTAGTTGCCATCTCAAACATACTCTGCTTTTTTGTTACAGAAGTCAACACCATATAAGATGACATACAATTGCATTGTCTTTTGCAAGAGGAAACTCCATCTGAGGTTTTTCTTCCATCTGTTTTTTTAAAAGAAAAATATCATTCCATACAGGTCTGATATGTTCATAGATGACTGCTGCCAAAGAACAGATAGAAAAGCTCAAGTCACATAGAGAAGTTCATGTAAGATTTTGTTATGTCGATTAATTTTAAATCTAAACGCTTAACTCCAGAAAGGATTCAAATGTTATTCTGATCACTCTTCAACATGCATGTACAATCCCATTCCCAATCAAAAGAATTCAGATAATGAATTATCAGTGCAATTGATGTTATAGTTTCTCGAAATGGAAAACAGGAAAAATCTTAGATAATGAAAGGGTTTGAATTGATAGAGTGAAATCACAAAGTTGGAGTAGAATCTAACTCTAAAACTTTTGGCATTATACCCCAAAACAGTTTCACTAATATTCCGGGTATAGTCAGAAGTAGTATGACTACTCCAATTCCAAGCAAGTATAGGAAAAACATCAACTAGCTAGGAATAGAATGCTAGACATGACACAAAACCGCAACTGTAATACAGCTAAGGAAGAAGCATATAATGAAAGTATATTTCATGCTGGTAGATAAGGCTTCAAGTTATACTTTTTTTTTTGGCAACTTCACCTCTATTGCAGCAGCAATTTTTTTTCCTTTCTACCTAGAAATAGCAAGCTTTAACCTACGAAAAATTGACAGTAACACTTCATTACAACAGTCAGACATACAAAGGAAATTTATACATGGCAGTATCGAAATTATTACAATCATGTAAATTACTTTGCATTCTATTTCCGGCTCGGGCCCCCCAGAAGGAGGCCTTCTTCGCCTTTCTCCGTTGAAAGCTTTCTTCCAACGCTCCCTGAACATGTCTAGAACTTCAATCCGCATAGGAAATTAGGAAAAAAGCTAGCCTTTTAACTTATTTGGTTTTCAGTAAAACATTTGGAATACAGGCATTGGTAAACATATATACCTTACAGCTTTATCTGGAAAGCCTCTTCAGAGAAAGGGGAAAACAAGACAACCTTCAATTGCAGGGAATGAAAAAAAAAAAGAGAAAAGAACACAAAATTCAGCTCATTCACTTTACAATTTAATAATGACATTGAATTCAAAAAACAAGAAAAAAAATAATTAGATTCACAGAAATCAAAAGGCATGAAAAAGAGAAGTAAAACAATATACGTAGTAAATTACATTACTTAATTTAAAAAAGGGTGTAAGCAGCTGAGCACCTCAAGAAGGTAGTTGGCAGAGAAAAAGTTGAACTCAATAAGAGAAGAGTTAGCATTGATTCCTATACAAGCAATTCATTTTGGGGGAGCTAAAAGAAAAGGGGATGCTTTGGTAACACTAGAGGAAAGGGATAAAAACACTTACATGTCAACCAGTGAAGAATTTGATCAAACAGAGGGTCTTCCAATTCATTCTTCATTTTCTTTTGAAAAAATTGGTTTAAGGGAAACTTTGTCATTGGGATTTTCCCAGACTAACGATTGCCACCATCCTTGGTCACAATAGATTTCTATAAGAGGGTTGGGAGGAGATGGCAGTGCAGTGGTAGTGGGAAGAAACAAAGGCAGCCTCCTTACCTTTGGACAGTCACGTACATTAATATACTGAAGTGATTTGCAAATCTTGGCTGCATTCCAGATGTGATTCAGTTCTGGAAGCCGATTCAGATACAAACGCCTTAACTTCGGGAGTATGACAGTGGTGGTGGCTTCACTTTGAATTCCTTCTCCTCCACGTCCTACTCCGTCATCATCCTCTGCTATCTCTTCCAGTCCTTCACAATCATCAACATATAAGTCATCAAGATTTTGAAGGCCTTGCAGCAGCTGCACAGTGAACAGCTGCTTCAACTTGTGACATTTTGAAATCATGATACAGGCAAGGGAAGAAAAGGTGGCAGGTGGCAGAAAAGATGGTTCTGATTCCCAATATAAGAGATCAACCAGATTCGGCAAGTCTACGAGTTTTAGCTCTTGTAGATTTTGTAGTGGATTAAAACAGGAGACTACCAACTGATCATGAAGAGGAGGCGGAGGAGAGGGCAATTTCAAGAGGAACTCGATGTCATCTACATCAATAATGCTCAAATAAGACAAGTCTTTCAAACTTGTAAAGTTCTTAAAAACATCTGACAGGCACCTATTGCCCAAGCAAACACATTTCACAAGTCTTAGATGCTTGACATTATTTGGCAGAAGTAGAACAGGATTATTCGATCCTCTCCAGAAGTTACACTGACGGAAAGCCAACAGCTCTTGAGAATGACCATTAATGTATTCATCATCATGATCAAAGTACCCATCCTCAGGTAAAAACTCATTGAATTCAACAGTATAATGTTTTGGCCACCTAGAGATTTCATAGAAGTCATTAAATGGTAAGCATCCAGTAAATACTTCTAATTGGTTTGACACTTCTGGATCATTAACTTGTACAAAATAGTAGGGATCCAATCCTAGCTGTTGGAGACAACTCAATTCAGAAAATGTCCCTTTTGGTATTATCACCCTTTGAAGATTTTGGCATTTGAGCATGTCCAGCCTTTCCAGGTTGACCAATGATTTCAAGCCTTGAGGTAAATCCTCAATTCCAGACCCAGATAGGTCCAATTCCTTCAATTGTGTAAGATTTCCTAATGGTGGCACAGATTGGAGGTGGATACAATTCTGCAACACCAAAGCAGTGAGACTCACCAGGTTTGAAACACAGTCAGGCAGCTCTTTTATTAATCTATTGTGTCTTAGATCTAGAACCTTAAGTCCAGACATGTGCTTAAAGAATGTATTTGGAATTCTTCCTATGTGTAGCGAACGAAGAAGCAAGGTTGAGAGCTTGGGACACTTTGGTGACATGCCTGGTGGAATTTCTATTGCACTTCCAATTGAATAGATGGAAATTGCATGGAGATCTTCTGTCCATTCTTTTTCTTCGAATGCCACTCTGGAATTTCCGATTCGTATGCTCTTCACCAAGAACCTCGGTACATCTCCGCTGATCTTTAGAGTAGAGTTTCCACTGGCGATCCTTAATGCCATATCTCTTATCAAATCATGCATTCTTACACACTCATTGCCCCTGTCATCTGTAGTTTCTTCCAGCAAGCAAACTTTTACTAGTTTGTTTAATATCTTATGACCTTGATCAAATTCTGCTAACCTTGAGCTTCGTTTAGGCATCAACTCTTCCCTAATGAAGAGATTTACTAATCCCTCTCTTGCTATCCTGCAATCTTCTGGATAAAGACAGCAATACAGGAAACATTTCTGTTCATATTTGTTTAATCGGTCAAAACTCCACTCAAGGATGGAAAAAACATCGCGTTCCATCTCATCATGCCCTATTGAACATGAATTCAATTGTTCCAATGCATTTCTCCACTCACATATGTCAGTAACACCTCTCATGCTCCCAGCCACAGTGACGATACCAAGAGGCAAACCAGCACACCTTTTGGCGACAGACTTGGCAATCTCTTCCACATCTATATGAAGCACTTTCTTGTCTCCTAGTGTATACATGAACAATTCCCAAGCTTCATTTGAATCCAGAATTTTCACTTCAAATATTCTCTGACACTGCATCCTGTCACACACTTCTAGTGAGCGAGTAGTCAATATCAACCTGCACTTGTTTGCATCAAGAGAAATCCCTGCCCTGTGTAAACAAAACTGTTGCCAAACATCATCCAATATGAGCACTGTTAATTTCTCCAATCTCCTGAATGCCCCATACAATACATATGCCATTACTACTTCATCGTCCTTATCTGATAAACAAACACCTAAGACATTGGCAATCTTTTCTTGCAAACTCTTAATACTGAACTCTTGAGAAATTGTCACCCAAAGAACTTGATAACCTTTTTGTAGAAGATAGTAATTGATGTGCTTCACCAATGTGGTCTTGCCAACTCCTCCCATCCCATAAATTCCAATGCTTGATATGTCATCGGTCACCAAGCATGGCCAAATTCTCTCCAAATTTTGTTTGACCTTTTCTCCAAACAATATGGTTGGCAAGCATGGCTCCACAATGTTGTCATAAGCATGGAGCACAAGCCCATTGAAGTGACAGCTCTGATCAATAAGTTCTTTCACCTGAAATTGCAGCTTCCGCACAGGATCCTCCTTCAATGGAAGCCTCCAAGATGATCTTCTTGTTTCCAGTCCATCGATTTCAGGATTTAAATATTTAACCTCCTTTAACCAATTGTCAACTTCAATTTTCCTTTTCGTTTTACCTGACATTTCTTCTCTCTTCACTTCCTCTTTGACATCTGATGCTTTGCAGCTCAACTCTTGCCAATTTCTTTTCAGCGTTTGCATGTTGTCCACATTGCTCCCTCCCATGCAATTTTCTACTACAATCTCCATGGTCTTTTTGGCGAGAGCTTTTCCAAATGATTGTATCATCTAGTAGGATTTGAGAATGCAAGAATGTGCCAAGCTTAGATTCACAAGGCAAATTAAAGCATATCCGAATCTTAAAATGGAAGAGGACATCAAAGTTACCATGAAACTGAACTCATTCTGCACATTGTTTTGTAAAGTTAATAACACAATCATGATAGATTTAGTAGGAAAATATATGTTCTTCAGTCAATCCATAATTTATGCACCTATAAGCTTATCTAGAGTTCTTCCAACTGCCAAAAGTAGAATAGTTCATTCAATATTTGAAGAAATGTCAAAACTGTATCAAGATCAATCTTGTAAAACTTAGAAGAACATGAACTGTAAAGCACTGAATTAATCAAGCATTTTTAGATCCTTAATTCAACAATTTCACTGAACATGACTTTAATACATTACCCTACTAATCATCCCACACCCTGTCTCCATTTTTCTCTTTATCTTTGTAAACTAGTTTTTCTTTTGTTTTGATTAATGCCGAACATAATCAGAATCTGAAGAACAGTCAATGCAAATAAAGAAATCTCTGAGAAGCACTGGTTTTGTACTTGGTAGTGTAAATTTAATCCAATTGGTGTAGCTAACTGTTGTCATTTTTCTTAAATGCAATGCGATGAAAATTTCATCAATCAGATATATGTTCTTTCTTTCTCCCCAAAAAAAATTTTCTTTGCACAAGAACCACCTCTATCAGTCTTTCAGATAGACACTTTTTGTAGCATTTTTAAATATTACTAGGAAAAAGCACATGTGATGCATGTGCATCTGGTGGTGAGCTATCAAAAAATTTTCAATTGAGAGGTCATGCATTTGAACTAATTTAGTCATCAAGAACCAAAAATCACATTCAACTTGTGGAAGATGGAAGACGTGAGGCCCCAAGGGCTGCAAATTAAGGCGGGGCTGAAATTTCTATCCAATTACACAAACGACATCCTGCAACCACAATTGAATAACAAGAACAGAATATCGGATGGAAAAGGATTTAAAAGTCTAATTCACATCTTTCTTCTCAAACTCAATTCAACCTCCTTGGCTCCGAAACAAAAATCATATTTGAGAAAGGTTCAGCACTTTAGTAATGTCAAAACCAGAAAACTTCAGCACTTTAGTACAATAATTCAGATAAAAAATGTTCTTTGATGAGATATTTCATGTCGGCAAATCAATCTGTAACAATAATTCAGACAAAAAATGTTCTTTGTTGAGATGTTTATGTCAGCAAACCAATCTGTACTGTGATTTTAATTTGATACAAACTTTCTTTACAACACCACTCAACTTGCACATAATCGTGAATGATGAACTAAACCCAACATGTCCAAAATCAGTCCACATCATTCTTCAACTCCCAAACAACTTGAAAATCGCTTCTCTTCCTTTCTTTTCTCTCATAATTTAAACTCTCTCTACAAACTCCCAAACTAAGCCTTAGCCTATTCTACTAATCCCATATGTACATACAGTGATCTAATACATTCTAGTTTGGGCAGATCTATGTAAAATGTCAATCATGTGAAAAGCTTAAAAAGAGCACTCCCAGTTGAAAGATAAAAGAATTGATGAAGATCTTTGTGCGTCATAAAGCTAAAGTCACCACGAAGACAATATGAAACAACCAAAAAACTTGCAAAATTAAGTTCCAGCTTGACATAATTGTAGCTTGAAATCTTGGACAAGCAAAATTTTCAAGCCAAGAAGTCTTGAAGAAGCTGAGAACCGCAAGACTCAGCCAATAGACAAAAGTGTGTTCTATATTTTCGTTTAGCTTTCACTACTAGCGTTCACTGGTACAAGAGGCATGATTTTTGAGTGTTGGTCAATGGATGATAATCGAATTAAGATATCCTTGACACGTAAAGCTATTATAACATGATGAAGCAAGAAACAACTCAAAAAATTACTCAATTCAGATGGAGTATGATCTACTTTTACCTTGAAATTGCAAGCAAACTTGAAGAAGCTGAAAACCTTGAGACTCTGCCAAAAGTATGTATTTTGTTAATATGTTCCCTTTTTTATCTTTGATTTTCCACTAATTTTAGGAGTACGATTAGATGGTAACAGTTGAACTAACAGAGAGCACCATTGATTTACGGGCGAGAAGGAATTGTAATGTTTAACCAGCCTATATATTGATTTGGACAATCATGCGTGGCTCGATTTCCGTGGAAACTGTTTTAAATTCAACTCTTTTCAAGCAATGGTGGAGATTGGAGAGGGGCAGGGGAGAAGGCGGCTCCACTACATGTTGGATTGACAATAGGACGGGGTCAGCTTTAGCTCGGCCCTCTCAGTCCAAAAGGCCGTTGAATTTGGTACTTAAATTGTGTTAAGAGCATCCACAGAAATGTATGATGCGGGGTATAATGCCCCCTGTTACACCGCTTCATGACATCATGGTCTTCCATTGGTGCCATGTCATAGAGATTACACACAACACTGATGATGCACATCATGAAAGATGTTGTAGGACCCAAACAGCATGACAACACCAGCAACTCCAAATAGCCAAAATAAGACAGTATTTTACTTGATCATTTTTTGAAACATTTTACAATGGTCATTTTTGTATTTTATTTAATTTTAATATTATGTCGTAGAGTTAAATTCAGTACATAGGGTATTATTAATTAATAATGGGTTATTATGATATTTTCACGTTTGAGGTGTCATGTCAATAATTTATTTTTAAAAATAACCATTTTTAAAATAATAAATTTATTTATTTATGGATTATGAATTGTGCATTATTAAAATAAAAGAAGGAAGAGAGTATAATAAAAGAGGAGATAGTTAAATGTTGATGTGGCATGTGGACTCATGCTAGTATACTGTGTGAGTGTAATCCATTGTGGATGAGAGTATAATAAAACGAGGAGATAGTGAAATGCTGATGTGGGATAATAGAATGCTAATGTGGCATGTGGATTATACCCTGAAGGGTGTAAACCATTGTGGATGCTCTTAGAGAGTTTAAATTTAAATATTAGATTCGAATTAAATAAGAGTCGAGTTTAAATTTTGTTAAACTCAATTAAGACTTGATCTACCCCACAAAAAAAAAGACTTGGCCTATGTATAAGTATAGTTATATACATAAAAAATATATAATAATAGTTATAATTTATATGGATAATTGCAGAAACCTCCCCTGAGATTTCTGACATTTGCACTGACATCCCCTCTAGGTTTAGAAATTGCATTCACCTCCCCTGAACAGTAACAATTCATTGCAGAAACCTCCCTGACAGCTTGATGTCCCATTAAAAAATTGGGAAAATGCCGGTTTTCATCCCCAAACTTTGGGGTAAGGACACATTTCGTCCCTCAACTTTTGAGCACGACACATTTGATGTTTGCATTAATAATTTTTTACCAATGTCATTCTCAAACGGCAATTTAGCCTATTTTTAACGGAACTGGTCACGTGAAAATCACATGACCGTTAAGTAAACTTAAATCACATTTTTAACAAAACCTGCCAGTTTCCCATAAAGAGCTGGTATGTTATGGGCAATTTATTATTTTTTTTAACTTTCACATATTTAATTTATGTTAAATACAAAACATACTAGTTTTCCTTTGAACGCTATTTAACCAATTTTTCCTATAAAGAGTTGGTATGTTTCCCATAAAGAGTTGGTACAAAACATACTACAAAACCAGTCAGTTTCCCATAAAGAGCTGGTATGTTATGGGCAATTTATTATTATTTTTTAACTTTCACATATTTAATTTATGTTAAATACAAAACATACTAGTTCAATGGGTAAAAATATGTTATGAATAACTCAAAGTTTATACTTTTAATAGTTCAATGGGTAAAAATATGTTATGAATAATTGAAGGGCCAAATTTTTACTATTCAAATAGTTCAATGGCTGCTCAAATAATTTGCTCTTATATAAATAGTAAAAGTATGCAAAGTATATGTAATTTTTAAATTCTGAGGGGAGCTTTTTGTAACTATTAAAAATCTCAAGGGATGTTTGTGAAATTATCCCTTTTCATTTTTCATGCTGATTATTTCTTTTCTTGCCTATTTTTCATTTTATCCTTATTTTTAGCTTTTTTCCCCCTTACGTATGGGACGCAAGTGTTTATTGATGGATGCTTAGTCAAAATTGCCAAAAGTTGACTGATTGCATGCAAGAAACTGGCAGGTTTTGTTTAAAATGTGATTTAAGTTTACTTAACTGTCATGTGATTTTCACATGACCAGTTCCGTTAAAAATTGGCTAAATTGCCATTTGAGGATGACATTGGTAAAAAATTATTAATTTAGACATCAATTGTGTCATGCCCAAAAGTTGAGGGACGAAATGTGTCCTTACCCCAAAGTTTGGGGATAAAAACCGGCATTTTCTCTTAAAAAATTATTTGTAGAAGTGAGATAAAACATTTCTTCCAATTTTGCCCTCATCTTGCTTGACAATTATTATTTGCTTGACAATTGCTTAACTAATTATCTAATTAGTTAATAGTTAAGCTAATTAACTATTAACTAATTATCTAATTAACTAAAGCTGTTGTCTGTCTGAAACTAATAAACTATTTGCATGTTAAACTAATTAACTAACTAACTGATTAACAGACTATTTGCATGTTAAACTATATGCAGTACGCATTACCTATTTAAAGTATCGGCTCTTTATGAGTATTTTACTTTCAAACATTTAATTTATGATAAAAACATCAATGTTTGTAAGTAAAATTCAAAAAGTGTTACAAAAAATATCAGTATTCTTACTTTCAAATATTTAATTTATGACCCTATGCCCCTCCATTTTTTGTAAGAATATTACTGTAAAAAAATATCAGTATTCTTACTTTCAAATATTTAATTTATGACCCTATGCCCCTCCATTTTTTGTAAGAATATTACTGTAACACTTTTTGAATTTTACTTACAATTATTGATATTTTTATCATAAATTAAATGTTTGAAAGTAAAATACCCATAAAGAGCCGATACTTTAAATAGGTAATGCGTACTGCATATAGTTTAACATGCAAATAGTCTGTTAATCAGTTAGTTAGTTAATTAGTTAAGCAGTTAATTAGTTAATTAGTTTAACATGCAAATAGTTTGTTAGTTTCAGACAAACAACAGTTTTAGTTAATTAGTTAATTAGATAATTAGTAAATTAGATAAATAGAAATTAGTTATTTAGTTAATTAATTAATTAGATAATTAGTTAGTTAATTAGTTAAGCAGTTAATTAGTTTAACATGCAAATAGTTTATTAGTTTCGGATAGACAACAGCTTTAGTTAATTAGATAATTAGACAATTAGTTAATTAGATAAATAAAAATTAGTTAATTAATTAATTAGATAATTAGTTAGTTAATTAGTTAAGCAGTTAATTAGTTAATTAGTTTAACATGCAAATAGTTTGTTAGTTTCGGACAGACAACAGCTTTAGTTAATTAGATAATTATTTAATTAGTTAATTAGATAAATAGATAAATAGAAATTAGTTAATTAATTAATTAATTAATTAGTTAATTAGTTAATAGTTAATTAGATAATTAGTTAATAGTTAATTAGTTTAACTATGCAGAAATAGTTTGATTAGTTAATAACTATTAACAATTAGATAATTAGTTATTAGTTTAACTATGAAGAAATAGTTTGATTAGTTAATTAGTTAATTAGATAATTAATTAATTAGATAATTAGATAATTAGTTAATTAGATAAAATAGAAATTAGTTAATTAATTTAACTATGCAGAAATAGTTTGATTAGTTTAATTTGTTTAACAAATTAAACGTTGGTTTTGATGAAAGTACTCAAACCTTTCATCTGGTAAAGTCAAATCCAATAGGGGTACTCTAGTAATTTCACACACTTTTACCTTTAAATTAGTTCCAGCTTTTTCTAGGGGAGGTTAATGCAATTTCAAAATTGATAGGGGAGGTCAATGCAAATGTCAGAAATCTCAGGGGAGGTTTCTGCAATTATCCCTAATTTATAAGTGTACATGTTATAACATAAAATATTAATAATTTATATATAAATTTATAGTTATTTATAATTATAAAATATATATTATATGTAATTATGTATTTAATTATGAATTTAGACTGAGTTCAATTTGAACCTTAAACTTATATACAAGTATAAACTGAACTTGAATTTTTTAATGTAAGACACGAAAGTCCAAAAATTCGAAAGTTCGCTTATGAATTGAATTGAATTGGAATGTACCAAAACTCAAATCAAATAGATCAACCTATACTTAAAGATGAGGGCACGCAGCTATCCCTCCTCAACTTTCACAAAATATCCTTGAAATAGTGCAAAATTTCTTATAAGTTTCACTACTTGTCTCCCTTGAAATAAAAAGAATGGAGGGCAAATACGTAAAGTAAATGCATAATGGCCCACAAGCATTTATTATGGGGAGAGAATATTGGAGCCATCTTTTCGGTTTCTTTATAGGTGTGTGAATCTATTCTTAATTTCCAGGAGGAATTTATAGAACACTAAACATCTATATTAAATAGGCGAATTTCCTAGAATAATGTTAAAATAAGAAAATATTACAAAAATGGGTTGTCTGGGGTTGGTTTTGTTTTTAAGGGTCGCCGCAAATGAAAAATAAGGTTAAAAAAAATTGATTTCAATTTCATTTTTTTTCATTGCCAACGAAGTAAAAGGACTGGATTTTTTTATATATTTTACAAGGCTTCACCGCAACTCAAAAGGGTGGCAAAGCAAAAAAAAAAAAAATTTAAAGGATTCGCTGCACCTCAATTGGGCAGCGAACCTTAAATTTTTTTTTTTAAAAAAAAAGGAATTGCGATGATTTTGCCCACAAACTCCAACCCAAAAACACTAATCCCGAAACCCTAATACGTAAACCTTAACCCTGAAAGCTGAAAATTTAATTTAACTACAAAAATTGTGCTAATTTCATAAATGGTGTTAATCATCCTCTACAAATTCTTTTAGCTTCCTTCTGGTTTAAAATATAAAATGAATTGAAAATTAATATGCCCAAATCATCCATTTTTGAATTTTTTGGTTTTAATGTCGAGTAAGACATATTGAAAATTAAATATGTCGGGTACATGAACAACATGTGTAGAGGTGCCCCTTTGTAACGCCTACCTTCCTATATTTCTATCACGTATCTGCTTTAGCTAAATGCTCGATAGACATCTTGAAAGGAACAGTACGAGAGGCAGATGGGTCAATATCTTGACGGTCAAATGGGCCAACAATCATCCGCATTCCTTGAATCAAGTATTGTAATATTTCAAAAGTCTTTTC